TGGATGAGGTTTGGAGCAACCTGGTCTAGTGTAAGGTGTCCCTGCCCATGGCAGGGGGGCAGACTGGATGATCTTTGAAGGTCCCTTCCAACCCAAACGATTCTGCGAGTCCATGGTTCTGTGATGAGTTCCCTTAAAGACCTGGGAAGCTGCTGCTTTGCAGCAGTAGAACAACCTGACCCCCATCTGTACCCCGTGTGAGCTCACGGCTGCAGGGAACGGCTGTCTGTGCACTCACGGGTCTGAGCAGCAGCATAATGCAAATGTCTCCTTGGGTTGATCACCCTTCCATAGCCCGTTTCCAGATGCTGTTGCATGTTTTAGGGTGATAGAGGTTCAATCCCCCCAAAGTGACACCGCCTTGCCAAGCCTTCCCACCTGGTAGAGCAGAGGGGATGGGAGCATGACATGGGCATCAGCTACTGCCGACAGCTATGGAGGGCAAGGAGCTCAGGGTGGTGTGAGGGCAGGTGGCACTGGCAGAGCTGCTGCTCCAACCCTACTTGGTAGTGGTTCTTCGCGTTGTGCAAGTGCCATCAGAATGAATGAATCTCTAGCCACAGGGTGGGTTTTTCTGTACCTTTATAAACAGCTCAACTGCTCCCAAGAACAAGACAAGGGAAATGCATCCATTTTTTAATTTCAAGCAAAATTACTTCCAAGCAAAGCCTCCCACAACCCCAAAGAGCAGTCGAAAGGCATTTACGTTCCGGCAACCTGATCTAGTGGAAGATGTCTCTGCCCCCAGCAGGGGCCTTGGACTGGCTCATCTTTGAAGGGCCCTTCCAACGCAAATCATGGCATACTGAGGAAAGGGCTCATTCAAGAGATACAGATACTTGGATGGAGGATGCACATGGTGCTCTGTCCTCACCATCCTGGAACACGTTCAGGGCTGTTTGTTGTGCTCAGCCTGGCAGCTAGATCAGACAGCAAGTCAGGCCTCTGTGTGGGTGCTCATGTGGGGGTGAGCTTCCCCCTCAGGGGCAGCAGTCAGCACTGGGAGTGTCAACATGTTCAGCTGGACCCTGCTCAGGTGCAATGCCAAGGTTTTCTGGTACATTTTCTGGAGAACAGAAAGCAACCTAGCTCTTACTGAGGGTGCTCTGTGTGCAGGAGCTGACAGCTCTACCACACAATCTGCCCTGGGCTGGCAGCTCTGCAGTCAGCCGCTCAGTTTGGGGCAGATATTCATCCCCTCCATCCCTGTTGGGCTGGTACTCCCCCGCTGGGAGCCTTCCAGTGTGGGGAGTAAAAGTGGGACTGTAATTCCAGAGTGGGGACAATTACCCTAGACATCCCCTGTCCCCCTGGCCTAGCCTGTCTTCCTGGTCCCTGGGTTCCCCCTGCCAGCCATGCCCAGCCAGATAGGAAGTTCAATGACTCAAGATGCAGCATCCCCCAGGGCCTTCCTGCCCAGCTCCAGCAGTGCAGAGTGACCTTTGTGAGTCCACCCTGCACCCGTGCTGGGACTGGTACATCCTGGCAGTGTGGCTGAGGGCTCGAGCCAGAGCACTGTTGTGGCCTCAGCTCTGGGCTGCTTGGGCACCAGCTGTGGTGTGGAGCGAGGAGGGTGCTGCCAGCCACCCCAGGGTGTCCTCTGGGGGCTGAAGGCTATGCTTGGGTTGGGCTTGGGTGAGGGGTGCATCTGGTCTAACCCCCTGGGGCCATGTCACCTGCTGCCATTTGCGCTCTTTGCACTTCATCACACTCCTCGGAGCAGCTTTTGGGCTAGAAGTGCTTTTTGAGCTGCTTAAAGGTGTGGTGGGTGCTCAGGGCTGAGAATTCCCCTGGTTTGGGGCTGGCAGGCCTCTCCCTCCTGCAGGGCCCTCACCCCTTCTCTCTCTCTTACTGTCCCCTCCACAGCACTCAACGCTGTCACGCAAGTTTGTGGAGGTGATGTCTGAATACAACGCCACGCAGACTGACTACCGGGAGCGCTGCAAGGGCAGGATTCAGAGGCAGCTGGAGATCAGTGAGTAAACCTGGAGAGGGAACGCAGCCACGCTGTGTGTGCCATGGGGCTGCACACTCTACCAGTTCTCTCTGGGTCAGAGCTGCTCCCGCAGATGTGCAGAGATCCCCTGGGAAAACCTGGGAGTGCGTGTGGGCTGTGTGCTTTTCCGTGGGAGGAACTGGGACACAGCTTCTGCTGGAGGGTAGACACAGTTGGTACCTTGCCTTTCAGTGTCAAACTACATCCAGTAAAGCGCATACAGCAAAGTGCAAAATCTCCCCTCAGATTTTCTTAACTGCTGAGAGAGCATGTGAAGAGAGATTTCTTCTTTGTTTGCAGCTAATTTTGAATTCAGAGAAGCTAGTGGGAATTCCTGACTCCTGTGTGTTGCCTTGCCTTTCCTCTGGCTGCTTTTCGTCACAGCTGAACTGAACTAAATATAAAAGAGAAGTGAGCTCTTGAGATGGGAACACTCACAGCTCCCAGCGGTTTCCCTTGCTTCAGGAGGAGCACGAGCCTTGGTGCCTGTCCTGGGCAGCTCCCTGGACCAGCTCAGCTGGCCTGTCATGACTCTTCGCAGCAGTAGTCATGTCTTCTGGCCGAAGGTGGACCCCAGGCGACACCTCTGAGGCAGTCACCCCCGTGGCACTGAGATCTCCCTGCATCATTCAGAGCCCATTGCTTAGGAGAGGTCTCGTCCTGCCTGTCCACAAAACCTGCTGTCCTGGTAGTTCTTCTGGACAACCAGTGACACCTGGTTAGTTTTAGAGAAATGTGGTCATCTGCCAGCAAAGAAGAACCATACTACCACCATAATTAGGGGAATAAGCAAGCAAGGGAGAAATCAAGGCATGCAGAAATTAAAAAGAGATTTTTGGAAATAATCTCATTAACACAGAGGCATCATGGTTTTTTGTGCTCAAAATGAAAGAGTCTGAAGCCTAGTCCATTTTTTTTTTTCCTCACAAACAAATGGGTGTTTTTCTTCCCTTTCACAACACAGTGTGAATAATGAGGTAGGAGATCTTTGAGTCAGAATGGTGTCCTTGAAGGTGGGAATGTACTTCATGAGATGCAGATGCATCCGGCTGCTAGCCCTGGAATCGAGGTACTAGTGGGCTGTGGCAGTTTCTGTGGAGGGTTAGAAGGAGACTTGGCTGTGCAAGCACTTCCTCTGTTAAGATTAGTCTTTGTGATGTATAATGATAATAGAAATGTTTCACACTAACTGAATGGAAAGGTTGACTGACATGGGGCTCAACAAGAGCTTGACGTTTAGTATAAAGCAGGGTGACAAGTGTGTCACTGCTCCAGCTGACTGACTCATTCATCAGCTAACTTCATTCTGTAGGTGCTACCCAGCCACAGGGGTGGCTTGCAATATAAACAGGAATTTAATGTATCCCTATGCTTCCCTTCTAAGAGGGAAGATTGGAAGGGACTTAGCTATGTTCTTAATTGTCTTCAGACCTGAAAGAAACCTTCCTCTTCTTTTTCTACTCCTGGATTTTGGAAGGATTCTGCTGCTCTGCTTAAATTATGGAGATATATTAAGTTATACTTGTCTTTGCTCTGTCCATCCTGCTGGGCTGCCAGTGCCTGACAGAGCATCAATGGGGCACAAGGAAAAAGCTGCTCAGGACTCACCATGGTGCAGTGGCTAGGTGCAGATGAGGTGTCCTAGTTAGTGACACCTGCTCTCCCTTCGGGGTGGAGGTGTGGAGCAGATGCAGAGGCAAGGTGGGGTCTGTGCTAGAAAGATACACAATCCTGTGCACAGTCCTTTGCAAATGCTGGGTTCCTCTGTCAAGACAGTGGAAAATCTCTTCTGGCAAAAAGGCTTGTCAAAAACAATGAGCTTATTGAGGATTTACCAGGACTGCTTCCTGGGCAGAGGGCTCTGTTTGTCCTGGGGTATCCCAGCCAGCATGTCAAGTCCCTGCTGCTTCAGGAACTCCTGAACAGGCTCTGTTGAATGGAGCTCAGCTGGGATGTGGCAACTGCACCAAGCTCTGTGAAATTCTCAGCTCTCATTTGCAGCTGATGAATCCAAAGGTAGAAAGTGCTGAGAGCTCTATGACAGTGAAGCCAGTAAATCATTCAGGTTTTGAAAGTATAAGAGCACGGACTTCTCAGCTGCTCTGGGGAAACTCCCCAGCACCCAGTGAGCTTCTCTGTCCTAACTGCATCTGCTTCTTGCTCTGGAAGTAGGACAGCTGTAGAAAAAATGATGATGTAGAGTCACTCTCACGGGCCACAGCCACCCTCCGGGGCTCCCCACAGCCCCCTCAGGATCTGCCCCTTCTCCTTGTGTAGGCACTGCTGTGTCTGTGGGTGCCAGAGGCTGTGCCTCAATGACCCTCACCTTCACCTTTGCCTGTCAACCACGTGCTGAGCCCAGCAGCCTGTCTGATGTGATAAAGTGGGTGTCCTCTCCTATCCCACTGCTTCCACCCCAGCCTTAATCGTTGCTCTCACCCTCCCCTTACTCACTCGCTCTGTTCCCAAACATGAAGCCATGAAGGGATGGTAGGATGCGCCGTGTCCTGGCGTTGATAACAGCAGGACAGATGCTCGGTGGCTGTGCTCTGGATGGACCGAGCATTCCCCTGGCACTGTCCCCACATCTGCTGTTGGGAGCTGTGCTTCCTGGGCACAAGCCTCCGCACTGCCTGTGGTGGGGCTTGTCGCTCCTTTGGTTTTTTCGTCTCTGTTTTGCCCATTATGTGAAATGACATCTTAAATCTAATTTAGGTTTTGCTCACAGAGAAAATGGATTTGAGGCTTGGAGGAGCTTTCTGTGGTGGGTGTGCATCTTTAAAGTGGTGGAGGTGCTGCACAGACGCTGCTTGCTTTTATGAACAGTTTGGTATGTGTGAGACTGAGAAGCCAAAAATAAAGCATCTGCCATCTCCAAGGGCACTGCGAGAATTAATCAGCCCCTGCCTCACTGTGGGAGACCAGGTTAATTGATGTGCAGAAAGGCAAGTTGTGGATGCATCCCAAGCTGCCTTTGAACCAGGAATGTCCAGGGACTGCTCTCGCCCTGCCGGCTCCTCTGTGCAGCCCTGGGTGTTCCTGGAGTTCCCAGTGCTTATTTAGGATTCCTGTGACACTTTCACCTCAGGAACGACCACGGAATTTATATGAGCAGCTAAAAATGTCTTGTTGGGTGAAAATGCCTGCACAGCGCTGGAAGTTTGCCCCTGTAGCCCCACCCCCCCTGCACTGAGCAGAAGGGGTCCTGAGGGACGAGGAGGCATTTGGCAGTTTGTGACGTGCTGGGCTGGCTTTGGTAGCTGAAGTATGCACATCCCAACACCACTGCAGGCAGTGCTAGACCTGCCTGAGCTGGGCAACAGCCCAGTGGGTTGGGTCAATCAGGCTCACTCGTTACCTCTGCATGCGTGATGGATGGGGCAGCATTGTCCATCTCTCCAGGAGTTGTATCAATTTGTATCTAATGAGAGCTTGAAAGCCAGATCTAGGCAGAGGTTCCCAGCCTTGGGAAGGTGCCTTGTCCTTGGTGTTTCCAGCCTGAGCCCTAGCTGTTGCTTTGTGGGTGCTCGTTGCAGCCCTGCGGCTGGGAAGAGGGATGCTGCAAGCAGAAGGAGCACAGCTGAGCCATTACAGTTAATTGAGGCTGAAGTCTGAAGTCTTCTCTATTTATAGAGCATCTGGCATGCAGAATTGGGCAAACTGGCATTCGGCGTCAGCTGGGTGATGGGTGTGAGCTGTGGCACTGGAGGCTTCTCTGGGAGATTCCCCAGGGTCCTGCACACCCTGATGGAGCAGCTCCTGACCCATGCCCAGGAGCTGGTTGGTGGGGACAATCAGTCCATCCAGCTGGGCATTGCAGGGCCAAGGTCTGTGCAGTGGCCTTGGGGTGGGAAGTCTCATCAGTAGCTTCATGCTTCTGCCTGTCCAAGAGCTTCTGATGGCCCTGCTGCACCATGACCTGTGCATCATCTCTCACCATTCCTTCCTTGCCAGTTCAGGGCTGAGTTTGCTTCTACCTCTGTGCTGCCGATACCAGCGATGCTCTGTGCTGCTTTGCTCACTGGCAGAGCTGCTTCTTTCCAGGAAACTTTAATTTCTTAAGATGCCAAGTAAGAAGCAGATATGCTCTGGAGCAATCTGGGGAGGCAGAGGTCCAGTTCTAATGATTTTCCAGTGTTTTGCCAAGTTTCAGGCTAGAGGTTTTCCCCCAGGCTCTTTCCCCTTTGTGGGTATCTTGCATTGACTCAGTCCCTTGATTCCCATTTGTGGCTGTGCAGTAGCTCCAGGGTGATATGGGCAGCAAATCAAACAAGTATCTAGCACACTTTCATCTGATTTTATTGCTGTTGAGGAGCTAATCTCCTTTCCAAACCAGGAAAACTAGCTAGAAGGTGATGGACTCCCTGTGAAGTCCTCTGGGCTCCTGCAGGCTAGTTGTATGGCTTCAGTGGGTATTGTGCTGGGTGGTGTGGGCAAGATGCAGCCTCTGGGACTCATGCTTTCGCTCAGCATTACAGCAAATTCCTGACCAGCTATGGCCCTTGACCAAGTCTGCACTGACTGGCTGGTCGTTAATCCATGTGATGTCTTTGTTCTCATCCTCTGCCTCCCTGCAGCTTTTACAGGCCCTGTGCTCTGCAATAGGGGAACTGGGCAGCAAGGAAGCGGTGAGAGGTGGAATGAGAACATGTATCCTGCATTACATCCCACCTCTGCTTGCAGGAAGCGTGGCATCTCCTGGAGCTGATCCCACTGCTTGCCCTCAGGGCTGTCTCTAGGGCTTCAGCTGGGCAGAGCAAGTAGCCCTTGATGCACTGCGCCTGGTGCGCTCCTTCTTTTCACTGTGCCAATCACTGGTCAGGCATGAGCACAGTCAACAGAGGGTTTGTAAATTTGTGCTGTTCAAGCTCTTTTTCTCCCTTCCTGGAACTAAGGTAGTTTCAGCCAAAAGTGAGGAGCCAACAAGCAGGAGGGCTGGTAAGGAGGTGTCGTGTGTCATCCTTGTTGGGATCCTGTCATCCTAAAACCTGTCACAGTGGCTGGAAATGGACCATGGACCTAGAGCTGAGAAAGGTGGGGAGGATGATCAACCCAATGTGACATTGGCATTATGCAGCTCCTTAGGCCTGTGAGCGTGCAGATGGCAGAGCTCAGCCCTCACCTGCAGCTACTGAGCTTACATGGAGTACAGGCAGGTCAGGTTGTTCTCTTGCTGCAAATCAGCAGCTTCTCAGGGCTTATGGGGTTCTAACAGGTCTTAGCTGTCTAGACCAGCCTCATACAGGATTTCTACCTCTACCTGTGAGTCCAGGAGCTGTGTAAGATCATGCCAGGGCCATCTGGCCCATATCTGAGCTGTGTTGCAGAGCTGACATCAGCCCTGATTCTGGCCTTGTCCCTGGGGTGTATTCAGGTCTCTGTTCAAGATAGCTTGTCACCAGCCCTGTTTCCTGGGGCTTTGGATCTTTGCTGTAGTCATGTTATAGGATTACGGACTCACAGTGTTTTGGGTTGGAAGGGACGTTCAAAGATCATCCAGTCCAGCCCCCTGCCATGGGCAGGGACACTCTCCACTAGACCAGG